ATAAGTATGTATAATAATAATTAAAAGTGAAACAGAACAATTACAGTGAAATTACGTCAGCTTAGAAACTTTTCCATAATTGCTTTGTATGTCTGTTATGTAAAAATAAAAAAATTCATACAGTTTTAAAAGGACAGATTAACGGCTTAATTGCCAAGCATGATAAATGTACTTTGTTCGCCATCCAAATTGCGCTGATAACGTTATTGCTATTTGATTACGTTATTATTTATTATCATCACACTAAGTAGTATTTCTATATTCTCATATTTATACGCAAACATAAAACAGTTAAATGTTCAGTACATTTATAAATTACTATATATAGTATATATAATGTGTTATATATTATATATATTATGTATATAACAAATTACAAATTATTACATATAATATTGCACAATATATAATAATTATAAATACTAATAAAAAAATATATATATTAGTGTAAAATGCTTCTATCAAAAAATTATATTTTTTCTTTAATGAAAATCTATTTAGCCATACGTAAAATTCTATTATAATAAATGATATAAATCTAATATCATAAGTTTATTTTCAATTTAATATATTATATATACATGCTGAGAGAAATTTGATATAAATAATAAAAATTTTGTTACTAACGTTAAAACTATTTGTTGGTATATGATCAAATTAAATCATTATTACACAATATTAATTTATTAAAATTATTAAATATACACACAAAAAACAAAAAATACAATCTGATACACACATAACAACAATATACTATACCTATTACACTTAACAAAAATATTTTCCACCATAATAGATTATTTTATTGACATTACGAAAAGAACATTTATTTTGTAATTAGAATTCAATTTTATATTATTATTTACAAAATGTGAGTAACCAAATAAAATTGTGTTATTAAATCGAGAGGTTTGCTTATCTAATAAAAAAAAATTACATTTTGCTATTTTAACAAAAAATTGTCCGATGAAAATCGGATGCTCGTGAATAATTCTCTTTTTTTTGTTATCATT